AAATAGCCAAAAGAACTACCTGTGTATGCGGTCACTATGCGGTCCGCATAACTATTATGCGGTTGCATAATGCACTGCATGACAGTTATGCGGTCGCGTAGTCGACCGCATAGCTGCTTCCAGAATAGCCCTCACCTGCTCACTTTTGCGGCCATTATGCAGCCCGCGAAGTGATTATGCGGTCGCATAATGGACTGCATAAATGCACATTTCCGGCAAAAAAACAATTCCTTTACTTTCCCGTGTATTGTTCAACCCAAAAAGTCCGAGCCGCGGAGAGCAAGCTCGCCGCGAATAATTTCTATAATCCTCAAATACGTAAGCCTAGTCCGGCACCATGAAATATTATTTTCTTTGCAAATTTTACCAGGCCTAACACTTAAGTACTTTGAAATTTTTCCGGGGTGTTACACTCGAATTGGGAGATAGCCGTGGGAAAACCTTGGACACCGTTAGGACCTATCAGGAATTTTGAGCTTGTTCGTTTTTTAGGAAGACCCGCCAGAATGGCAGAGTCAACGAAAGTAGGAAGCCTTATCAACACTTGCTGAACAGCCTTCCTTAGAAGGATGCCTAGGAAAAAAAAGGAAAAAAGAAGAACGTCAAAATAAGAAGCCTGAACAGTTGATATACAGTTGGGGCGGACACTTATCATGATCTTTGGCTTGCCACTCCGAGAGGAGGATGCCAAAATCTTCTTGATGATCCACTCTTTAATATTTGGAATACCTTTCAGAGCTACCAACGTGGCTGTCGGGAAAGAAAAAAGAAGACCAGATCAACAAAAGACAAAAAAAAGGGGAGTGTAAAATAAAAAATGCTAAAAATATGCTTACGTTTGTCATTCCACCTCTCTGAAATAGGCCCATCTTCGGGCTTGACCAACTCATGAGTGGGGAATGCGACGATACGATCAAGCCACCCCCTCTAGTGGTCATTCTCAGCATTCATGAGGGTCAGAGTACCTCGACTAGCCATCTCCCCAGAGTGGCTTGGGAGCAAACAGATGTACAACTTACGAGAAGGAGAACGAAATGTCGGCTACACTCACTATGAAATGAAAGCACACCACAAGCCTCAATACATTCGGCCCAACTTGGCCCAAGCGCACATTGAAATAATGATAAAAGTCTAAGATCATAGGATCTATCAAGGGTTCGAACCCAAAGGTGAACGAATAAGTATAGGCAAAAGAGAAGTTCAGCATACGGGTTGAAATTCTTTCGGTCTCCTGAGAAACGTGAATGGCGATACAACCACACCATCGAATAACACGATGGATTAGGGTAACATGATCTTCTCGGACAAGGGAATCCATATTGTCAACACGTGAACTCCTGCATTGCACTGCCACCTTGTTCAATGCTTCAATTACTCTCTCGTAATCCTAGCTTCTAGGAAGAACCTCCAATACCATGGTCTTATGCCTCCCTTTGCTTCCTTTGTGAGATTTGGAAGCCTTTGTTTCATAAGGACCAGCAAGTGAAGTCCCCGCAGGAGTGTCGGATACAGAGGAGGGGGCATTCCATGGCGGAGATGGGGAAGCACCTTTGGTCAAAGGCATGGAAGGCTAGTCGTCCATTGAAGAAAAGCCAAAACCTTGGGGATCCATGTGAGTTACAAAAAGAGGGGTTGAAGAATGAAGCGTCGATTGGAAAGTAAGTGAAACAAGAAAAGCATAGAAATAGAAAAACAAAGGAATTTGAGTTATATAGGAGGCCACAACCTGATATATATAGGCGGGAGGATCCTCCTCTTGTAACCGCAAAAATCCGGAAAGGTTGCCTATCATAAATAGTCATCATTGACTAGGAACTGTAATAGGTGAGAAGACCAATGGAAAATTGTCACTTCCCAACCTCGGGAGGTGAGACTGGTACAGGACGCCTAAATGCTCGTGCAAACCAGCATCTATTCTTAGACCTTTCAACCTGAAATCTGTGCTAACACGGCCTCCGAGTATAATACCATGATCTTAAAAAAAATGCTCACAACCGATTACAGAAGAAACATTTAGCATTTTATATATATACACGATTGTTGAAAATAGAGCCATAACAAACCATTACATACACACCATAAACTAGTCTGCAAGCTTCTACGAGTGCCATATTACATAACTTGGTTGGGACAGGACCCCACTGTACTCAACATTACTGAAACATATAATTCAGTACTTATTAACTTCTATACAGCTACTCCAGAGAAGTGGAGTGCGACAACCAGCATCTGAAACGTGCACCCTACTAGGGAGGGATGTCACCAGGTCTAATTGTACCTATGGCCATGAACACAGTGCCTGGAAGAAAGGGGCACTCAGTATGAAAGATGTACTTAATATTTAAGGCGGATAATGTAGGTAAACCAAAGATATAACATAAGAGAAATGAATACACAGTTTCAACCTGAACACTGAAGACAAGCCACCAGGGTCGTACACTGCGGTAACCATGAATCATAAGTGCATACAAGTTTTGTAAAAGTCAAGCCATGCATTAAATATAATACAGTAATGTTCTACCGCTCTTAGGGCATATCATCTCATATCATGTTCGGCCACTCTTTTGGGAATATCATATCATATTGTACCCAGCCTCAGAGGGGACTCAGTAAAGTCTCGTGCCTTTATTACATCATACCCGGCCTCAGGAGGCCTCGGCCATACCTGGTCTGAAGAGTCTCGGCGTAACTGGACTCAAGAGGACTCGGTCATACCCGACCTCATGAGATCTTGGTTGTACCCGGTCTCAACAGAATTCGGATGTCCCATGTCATTTCTTCTACATTATTGTTCCTCCAGATTACTTTAACTGAAGTTGCCTCTTTGGTTCGCAACTCTCGAACTCGACGATCTAGGATAGCATCTGGAATTTCTTCATAAGCTAGTGACGAGCGCAAGCACAACACGTAATTCATGCCCTCTAATAGTATAATTTAATTATCGTCTCCACGAGGATTGAAAGTTATAGTTTAACACTATTCAAGATGATTAACACTTTGATTGAAATAATTAAGAACTAAATTTAACTATTAAAATTAAAGCGATTAAGAACTGATCATAGAGAAATAGAGAGTAAAGCAATGGGTTATTATTAAGACGAAGAATAAGGGTTTTGACGTGATAGGTGCATGAATGCTATCCTGAATTTGACATTATTATATTTCACTCTTAAGGTGTCATCGATTCTCATGAATTCAATAGGTGATTAGCTTATACTTTCGATTTGGATTTCTCTCTCAATTAAATCTAAATCTTTCAAATAAACTAATGTGAAGTGCGGTGAAACTTACAAGAACCTATTGGTAGAAATGATCTAAGAGAAACTTCTCGCGAACATTTCTCAATCTTAATTTAAATGGTAACTCAAAAAGCTCTCTCGATTACTTCAAAGAATCACCAAAATAAACTAAGGCATACACTGTAATAATATTCAATAAGATGTTCCTCTTTTAATTAAACACTATAAAGAATAAAATCACAACTAATATTAAAGCTCCTCCAATAAATTCAAACAATTAAACAGTAGTCAAATCTATAAACAACAACTAAGTCACCAAATCATGTCAAACCCTAAAGTAAACTACTCCATAGATATGGAGAAAGTCATCACAAATAGAGTTAAAGAATAAGAAAATATTAATCCAACGTTACAATCCAAACTCGCGTATTAAATTGGTAGATGGAAAATGAAATCTTGTGTCTTGAAGCATCCAATGCTCTCCACAAGCTCCCAAGGTCCAAAGTCCTCTCAAAATCATATTTTGGTGTATTTATACCATGTAAATGCGGGTCCGGATGGAGCCACCCTTTCCAAGCCGAAGTGAGAAAATTCTCTGACAAAATTGCACATGTGCAGCGCGGCTCGCGGCGCCCCATGCACTGCACTAGTAGAGATTTGCAGAGAGCAGGTTTTTCCCACTCTGCAGGAATATCACACTAGCACCTTGCGCCCTGTGACGGGGTAGTGTATTTTTTCCAGAGTAATTTTTTTTTCTCAAATTTTATCCTCCAAACTGGTCCTCGAGCCCCGAACACGATCTCGACTTAATTCTTTGGGCTTCTACTCAGACTTTAAAGCTCCAATTCATCCATTTTAGCTCTAAACTTGCTTCTCAACTCGAAATCACATCCTACACAATATAACACACATAATAAGCACAAAGTACTAATAATTAGGCTCAAATGCAATCAAAGTGTAGTAATTAGAGTGCAAAATAGAGATAAAAATGTGAGTTCCTAACCTATCATCAATACCTTACACTTAAACCATTGCTTGTCCCCAAGCAATCAAACTACACTTCAAATAGAGACGATCTTTTTTCAAACAACTCTCCTAATTCATCCTGCCAAGTATAATTAAAGCAGGCTAAGCACCATACCGTAACATTCTAGCCTCAAGACTTAACTAACAAGCACCACATATTTTTCAAAAACCTACTCACTTAATCTAACACAAAGTCTAAAGACTTACCTTTCCTTCACAAGTCATGTGCCCTCACACAAATAATAGAGAGTAGTTCCACACACCATAGAATTCAAGAACAAATGGGAACTCAAGATAGAAAAAATTTACTCATTCTCAGATATAAGATTCATATGCCACAGAAGATGTACCATAGACTTGCCCGAAGTATAATACTATACTAATTGAGATCATTCAATTAAGGCTGTTATTTCGCTTCGCAAACACACGGGGCAAGTTCTAGACATCAAATGCAATGACAAAATATCAACAACAACCTCACTCACACATTGGGGCACATAACTCACTCAGGACCGGATCTATCCCGACTCTCTAGTCAAAGCAGTTAAGCAGAGTCAAAATTAAATAATTTAAGGCACTTATAGATGAGTCAAGAACTGAGCCTAAACCTCACAACTACAACACTCACCGCTGCCAAGGCACAACAAAGTCAAGAACAATTATCTCTAATTAACATCATAGCACAATACTCCTCTATTCCTAACCAAAAAAATTAACTACACCCGGTTCAAGCAAAACCCTTGGAAAAGAAACGCGACACCAAAAAAAAATCAAGGGGAAATTGTTACACTACCGAAGAAACTAAAACAAAAAATAAAAGACATATTTTTTTATTTTATTTTTTTTTGTGTTTATGTTTCGACCTTAATCCCTCACGAACACNCACACACAAATTTACATCCCTCACCCCACACTTTAAATTGTGGCATGTCCCCATGACACACATAGAAAAAATAAGAGGTAAAGGAAACTCCCGTGAATTTTTTTCTTTTTCGAGAACTTATGAACTCCACCCTTAATTCTGAATTCATTCCTCATTTCTGCTCCTTGTAATTCTTTATAGAGCTCATTAGGCTAAATACATTTGAAGATATCTGTAACACCCGCTCTTTTCTTTCTTTCTTGGCGTCATCTTGAGTGGTGAATTTCTCCTTCAGGATGATCCTCAACTTGTTCCTGCATTCTTTTACAGGATCACTCCATGCATATTCCTATAAATCTCTAAAAATAAAATTCACATGATAAAGGTTAAAATAAAAAAACAGAGAAGAAAGATCATGTGAATATTCCTATGGTATGTCCAAGATCATTTCGTTCCTATTCTCTTCTACTAAAGGTTGTAAATGTGAAAAGGTGGATGGAGGTTTGAACTCGTCTTCCATTGCTTCACACTCAACCAAAACCTTATTTTCAATCATCTTAGTTGAATCAGAGTCCTCTTGCGAAGTGGAAAGCTCTCTTTGTAGATGCTCATCATCTTGGGTAGGCTCATTCTCACAGGGTATCTCCTCCATATATTCACCATCACAATTAAATGAGCTTTTTGAAAGTATACATACTATTTAACTCACTTGATTTGTTAGGTTCTTAATGGCTTCATCAGTTTGTATAAGTCCTTCTTGATTTTGTATAAATCTTTTTTCAACATTATTCATGAACTTATACATAAGCACTTCTAAACTACCATTCTCCTTTTGAGGTGGTTGTCTCACTTCGCTTTCATTACAGTCATGATAAGGGTATTTATCCCAACCAGAGTTAAAATTATGCCTAGATGAAATCTCATACCTGTACGGACTAGAAACAGAGTGAGACTTTTCAAAAGATAAACCATAGGAGGAATACTTACCTGCTTGACAGTCAACCCATATATGATTTCCACTATATTTAAAACAAATTGCAGACTTGTGATAGTGTTCAGTTGTTAACTCTGTAACTATTTTCTTAGGCTGGTTGTGCTCCATCTTCACATCATATAGAGTTCAATATCAAGAATATTTTCTTCAAGTTTTCTTCCTAGCACTTGTCAGATACTACAAAAAAATCTTTAAGATAAGTTAACTAAAAAAATAAAATAAAAAGGAAACAAAAAAAATAATTCCCGAATTAGCACTAAAAATTATTTTGAACACTATTGATTGCCAATCCCCGGCAACGTCACCAAAATTTGACGAGCGCAAAACACAATATGAAATTGATGCTCGCTAGCCAAAGATAGTATAGTTTAATTCTCGTCTCCACAGGGATTGAATTTAAATAATGTTCAAGTAAAATCTGGTTTAACGCTATTCAGGATGATTAATACTTTGATTGGAATAATTATGAACAAAAATTAACTATTAAAATTAAAGCAATTAAGAATTGATCACAGAAAGCTAGAGAGTAAAGCAATGGATTATTATCAAGACGAAGAATAAGGGTTTTGACATGATAGGTGTAAGAATGCTATCTCGAATTTGACACTGTTATATTTCACTCTTAAGGTTCTATCAATTCTTATGAATTCAATATGTGATTAGCTTATACTTCCGATTCAGATTCCTCTCTCGATTAAATCTAAATATTTCAAATAAACTAATGTGTAGTGCCATGAAACTTGCAAGAATCTATTGGAAGGAATGATCTAAAAGAAACTTATCGGGAATAATTCTCAATCTTAAATTAAACGGAAACTCAAAAAGCTCTTTCGATTACTTCAAAGAATCACCAAAATATCTAAGGCATACACTGTAATAATATTCAATAAGATGTTCCTCTTTCGATTAAACACTATAAACAATAAAATCACAACTAATATTAAAGCTCCTCCAATAAATTCAAGCAATTAAACAGTAGTCAAATCTATAAACAACAACTAAGTCACCGAATCATGTCAAACCCTAAAGTAAACTACTCCGGATATGGAGAAAGTCATCACAAATAGAGTTAAAGAATAAGAAAATATTAATCCAACGTTACAATCCTAACTCGCGTATTGAATTGGTAGAAGGAAGATGAAATCTTGTGTCTTGAAGCCTCCAATGTTCTCCACAAGCTCCCAAGGTTAAAAGTTCTCTCAAAATCGTATTTTTGGTATATTAATACCATGTAGAAGTGAGTCCGGATGGAGATACCCTTTCCAAACCAAAGTGGGAAACTACTCTGACAAAATGGCACATGCGTGTCGTGCCTCGCGGCACCCCATACGTCGTGCTAGTAGAGATTTTTAGAGAACAGGTTTTTCCCACCCTGCAAGAATTTTACACTAGCACTTTGCACCCTACGACGCAGTAGTGTATTTTTTCCAGAGTAATTCTTTTTTCTCAAATTTTAACCTCCAGACTGGTCCTCGAGCCTCGAACACGATCTCAACTTAAGTCTTTGGGCTTCTACTCAGGCTTCAAAGCTCCAATTCATCCAGTTTAGCTCTAAACTTGCTTCTCAACTCGAAATCACATCTTACACAATATAACACACGTAATAAGAATAAAGTACTAATAATTAGGCTCAAATACAATCAAAGTGTAGTAATTAGCATGCAAAATATAGCTTAAAATGTGAGTTTCTAGCCTACCATTAGCTAGGTCCTCTATAACTTGGACAACTTCAATAGGGGTAATACGAGATGGATCACCCAAGCACTTATGAAGCATGGACATATGAAATACCAGATGCACTGCTCTCAATTCCATGGGAAACTCAAGCTTACAAGCCATTTGGCCGATTCTCTGAATAATCCGATATGGTCCAACATACCGGGGGCTATGTTTGCCTTTCTTTCCAAATCTCATCACTCCTTTCATTGGCGACACCTTCAAGAACACACAGTCTCCCATAGAAAACTCTAAATCTCGACGTTGGTTATCCAAGTAGGATTTCCATCTGCTTTGAGCAGTCAATAATCGATTCTGAATCATTTTCACCTTCTCTACAGCTTGTTGCACCAAATCAGGACCTAACAATTTGGTTTCATCAATCTCAAACCAATCGATAGGAGATTTGCACTTTCATCCGTATAGAGCATCATATGGTGCCATCTGAATGCTAGCATGGTAATTGTTGTTGTATGCAAACTCGATGAGAGGTAGATGATATTCCCAACTTTCTTTGAAGTCTAAAACGCGGGCTCGTAAAATTTCCTCGAGCGTCCAAATAGTGCTCGGCCTGGCTGTTTGTCTGCAGAAAAAAAGTTGTGCTAAGATTGATCTGCGTAGCCAAACCTTTTTGGAATGATCTTGAGAATTGAGATGTAAATTGGGCACCTCTGTCCGATATAATATAAATCATACCTCCATGAAGTCAAACTATTTCCTTAATATATATCTTAGCATAATCTTCAGCTGAAAAAGTGGCCGTGACAGGCAGGAAATGAGTTGATTTGGTGAGTCTATCCACAATAACCCACATGGAATCGAATTTCCTGCGAGACCCTGGTAATCCGATAACAAAATCCATGTGGAATATCTCCCATTTCTAGGTCGGGTTTTCCATATTCTGAAGCAATATCCTGGTTTTTTGTGTTCAAACTTAACTTGTTGGCAGTTTCTTAACTTGTTGGTAGTTTGGACACTGAGCGACGTATTCGGCGATGTTCCTCTTCATGTCATTCCAAGTTAGCTGTCTAAGGTCATGATACATTTTGGTTGACCCCAGGTGAATAGAGTACCGAGATTGGTGAACCTCCGCCATGATCTATCCTCGGAGTCACCCGACATCGGGCACACACAACTGGCCCTTATATTTAAGAACTTCATCCTCGGTTAACTCAAATAATTGCTTCTTATGAAAGGGAATACTTTCTCTCATTTTCACAAAGACTGGATCATTGAATTGTCATGTCTTTACTTTGTCCGCTAACGAAGATTTGGCGGTAAACTTAACTATGGCTCCTCCGTTGCCGGTATCGAGCAGTTGTACCCTTAAATTGGCCAACCGATGCAGATCCTTAGTTAATTCTAGCTTATTTATCTCGACATGCCTCAGACTACCCATGGATTTTCGGCTTAATGTATCAGCCACAATGTTTGCTTTACTAGGGTGGTATAGAATATCAACATCATAGTTCTTTAACAATTCAAGCCACCTTCGTTGTCTTAGATTCAATGTTTTTTGCCTGAATATGTATTGCAAACTCTTATAATTTTTAAATATGTCCACATGAACTCCATATTGATATATCGCCATATTTTAAAAACAAATATAACAGTGGCCAACTCAAGGTCATGAGCTGGGTAATTCTGGTCATGTTTCCATGGTTGTCTTGAGGCATAGGCAACACTCTACCATGTTGCATCAAAACACTACCCAACCCCACTCTAGAAGCATCACAATATATAACATAACCTTCTAACCCTTCGGGAAGAGTTAAAAAGGTGTTGAGGTTAGTCTGTTCTTTAACTCTTGGAAACTCCTTCACAAGTATTGTTCCACTATAATTTAGCCGCCTGATGCGTCAACTTTGTTAATGGAGAGGCAATAGAAGAGAAAGTTTCTACAATCCTTCGATAGTAACCAACTAAACCCAAGAAACTATGCACCTCCGTAGGAGTTGTGGGCCTTGGCCAATTCTTAACTGCTTCGATCTTTTTGATTATCAACCTTAATGCCCTTATCTCATACTATAAGCCCAAGAAAAGCTACTGAGTTCAAGCAGAACTCGCATTTGGAAAATTTAGCGTACAACTTAAGATGCCGCAGCGTGTGTAACACCACCCACAAATGCTTTGCGTGCTCAATTTCGGATCGAGAATACACCAAAATATCATCTATAAATACAATCACAAAGATATTCAAGAATGGATTGAACACCCGATTCATCAGATCCATAAAGCCTGTTGGTGCATTGGTTAGGCCAAAGGACATAACGAGAAACTCGTAATGGCCATATCGGGTTTGAAAGGTTGTCTTTGGAACATCTTCTTCCTTGACTCTTAATTGATGATACCCAGATCTGAGATCGATCTTCAAAAAATACCTAGCACCTTGAAATTGGTAAAACAGGTCAGCAATTCTTGTAAGCGGATACTTGTTCTTAATGGTTACCTTATTCAGCTCTCGGTAATAAATGCACATCCTTAATGAACCGTCTTTCTTTCGAACAAATAACACTGGGGCATCCCACGGGGAAATACTGAGTCAGATGAAACCCTTGTCTAGAAGATCCTTCAATTGGGCTTTCAAATCCTTCAGTTCAACAGGGACCATCATGTACCGAGGAATAGATATCGGTTGCGTATCGGTAAGCACGTTGATAGTAAACTCGATCTCCCTCTCGGTAGGGATACTCAGGAGCTCATTGGGAAATTCATTAATAACCGGAACTGACTTAAGGGTTGTAGGCCTTGTCTCCATATCCTGCACATGTACTAAATGATAGATACACCATTTCAAGATTATTTTTCGAGCCTTAAGGTAAGAAATAAACTTTTCCTTAGGTGTTGCAACATCACCCTTCCATTCAATGACGGGCTCTCTTGGAAAATTAAAGGGAACGACTTTCGTCCAACAATCCATATTAGCATAACAAGAATCCAGCCAATCCATTCCCATAATGACATCAAATTCCACCATCTCTAATTCATTAAATCATCTAAGGTGTGACAATCATAAATCATCACATCGCACCCTCGATATATCCGTTTAACTATCACAGACTCATTTATGGGCGTAGACACTTCAAATGGCTAATGTAATAACTCAGGCTCCTTACCACATTTACCGGCAACAAATGGAGTAACGTACGACAAAGTAGAACCTGGATCTAATAGGGAATACACATGAAAGGAGAATACGGATAGTATACCTGTAACCACATCTGGTGATGACTCTAGGTCTTGTCGACTTGACAATGCAAAAATGTGATTTTGTTGTCCACCTGAGCCAGATGCTCCACCTCTGCCTCTACATCTTCCAACTGATATTTGTGGGCCCTGCCCATAAGGGCATACTGATGAAGAAGAAGTCTTTACAGATCCTGTTGGCCACGTCATACTGCTCACATCTCTCACTGGGCAAAAACACATAATGTGACGGGGTTACCCACACGAATAACATAAGTCCAAACCTTGAGGACATTGCCCAAAATAGGTCCTACCACATCGGCCACAATACGGTACCGGGGGTCTCATCTTACTAGATTCTCCATTATAATGTGAGCCCTTCCCTCAGGAATTCTAGCCTTGACCGGATTAAACAATCCGATCACGACGTTGGCCCTGGAACTGTGATGGTGCACTAGTCACCGGATAAGATGGATATCAAGGAAACGAAGTTCTAAACCCACCTCGAAAATCTCCTATATCACCTATGGATCAGGTTCTCTTATGTTGGCTCCGATCATGCACTCGAGCGGCTCGTTTTTGCCTCATACGATCCTCTAAGTTCTTCTCATAGGCTTGAAAGCAAGCAATGTCCATAATCAAATTCAAAGAAGCAGGGTACACTCGTTAATCAAATGTGGTCCCACACCACCCACAAATCAATGTACTCAGTCACTCATTTCATCCACAATCGTAGGAGCTTACCCAGACAAGGATTTAAATTGCATATTATACTCTTGAATACTCGTATTACCTTGCTTAAACCATAAAAATCTATCTTGTCTGGCTCGACAAAGATCAACAGAAAAATATTGTTGTAGAAATGCTTCAAAAAACTCTCTATAAGAAGCAAGATCTGTAGGATCAGTATCAGTGGCATGCATAACTCATAATGTTCACTGCACCTGATCTAAAAATCTTTGAGGATCTTCATTTGGATATGTTCCTGTAAATACTGGGGGTCTAGGTTAACAAAATCTTGAACCCTTGCGCTGACCATTCTGTCTGATGTACTAGGGGATTAACACTGGACCTGGAAGCTACTAACCGAGACAACAACTGCACCGCACTTCTCATATCTAAATCCTGGTCAGGAGCAACCATGGGAGGAATTGGGGGTACGTTAATTGCTCTATGTTGTTCTGGGGGTAGTGGTGTTGTCCCTGAAACTTGAGTATCAGCCTCATCATGAGGTTCACGTTGATCCATGTGAGCGGGTAGCACCCGACTGGTACCCTCCCCTACCTCTTCATCTAATCTCTAAACAACTATTTGTCGTCTCGTAATAGGCATCGCTATAAACATAAACAAGATGAGGATTAGAAGTGGACACTTACGATTCAGCTTTATCACACAATCTAGATCAGAAAGAAAGGTATCCATTTTAAATATACTTTAGCCTCCTATTTATAAGTATGGTCCACGATATACCCATAAACAAGACTCTACTAGATACTGCTAGCAAACTCCCTAGGACAAACCTACTCTAATACCAAGTTTGTCACACCCCAACCTCGGGAGGTGCGACCGGCACATGATGCCCGAAGGCCCATATGAACCAACGTCCATACTTAGACCCTTCCACATGAAATCTGGGTCAACAATGCCTCCCAGTATAATACCAAAAATTAAAAATGCTCATAACTAATTAAGGAAAAAACTTTCAACATTTTATATATAAACACGACTTTTGCCAATAGAGTCATAACCAACATTTACATACACATTGGACACTAGTCTGCAAGCCTCTAAGAGTGCCATATTACAAAACTTGGTCTGGACAGGGCCCCATCATACCCAAAATGACTGAAACATATACTTCAGTACCTAACGACCTCTGTACAGCTACTCCGGAGAAGTGGAGTGTGACAACTATCAGCTGAAACGTGCATCCTACTGAGGAGGGACGTCACTGGTCTATCTGTACCTGTTGGCATTAACACAGCACCCAGAAGAAAGGGGCATCAGTACGAAATATGTACTAAATATATAAGGCGGATAATGTAGGTAAACTAAAGACATAACATAAGATGTGAATATACAATTTAAACCTAGACACCGAAGACAAGCCAGCGGGGGCGTACACTACAGTAACCATGAATCATAAGTGCATGCAAGTTTTGTAAAATCAAGCCATGCATTTAAATATAATACAGTATTGTTCAACTGCTCTTGGTGCATATTATCTCATATTATATTCAGCCACTCTTTGGGGTATATCATATCAATATCGTACCCCTCCTCGGAGAGGACTCAGTAAAGTCTCATGCCTTTATCACATCGTACCCAGCCTCGGGAGGTCTCAATTGTACCTGACCTTAACAGGACTCGGCGTACCCGGCCTCAGAAGATCTTGGTTGTACCCCGTCTCAACAGAACTCGGCGTAACCGGTCTTAAGAGGACTCGGTAATATCATGTCATGCCATCTCATCTCCCTTCATACCTGGCCTCGAGAGGACTGTACTCGACCTCAACAGGACTCGGCGTATCCTAAGTCAATAGGACTCGGTCGTACCCAACCTCAGGAGGACGCGACTGTACCCGGCCTTAACAGGACTCGGCATAGGCGACCTCAAGAGGATTCGGTAGCCTCACATCACACATCATCGTACCCAGCCACCCAAGGGCTCGGTAAACACTTCACATCATGTCTCATCATACCCAGCTGGTCAGTGGTTGCACAATATATGTCGTACCCGGTTGACTATAGCGCGGCTCGGTAAAGTAAAAAATAAGTATATATATATATATATATATATATATGTGTGTGTGTGTGTGTGTGTGTGTGTGTGTGTGTGTGTGTGTGTGTGTGTGTGTGTGTGTGTAAAATACCAAGATTAATACAAGATCAATTTCAAGTTCAATATATATACAAGATCAATTTGAAGAGATATCAAAATTAAACTTAGAATGGATCACATTTTCCTGCCTCAAAATGCCATCTGGGAGCATCTCAGACATCAAAGAAAATGTCAACGGTAAAGAACGTACAAGAATATGAAATACATCATCAAGAAAGGCTTAGAACAGTACAAGCTTACAACATAAAGATCATTTAGAAAGAAACACTTACATCAAGTCATGCCAAGAAAGAAGGCTGTTTTACATACCTTTTTGAAGGACTAGATACGCTTTTTGAGTTCTTACACTTTTATGGTGATTATCTTCACTTTCAAGGAATCTCCAAAGTCAGTACAACATGAAAAAGGATGATACAAAAATGATCACGAAATCTTTACGTTAATTTTCACTAGGCTCACCTTTGATTTGGCCTTGAATCACACGAAGGTTCTTAGAAAGAGTTTTGGGGAGCTTTCTTGGGAAAACTAAAGCTGGTAATATAGTGTGAAATATAAAAGAAGAAAAATGTATTGCATTTTATATCGAATCTGGAAACTCCACCACTCCGAGTGCAAAATGGGCCGCCCCGCACCGGTCACTGCGCCTGGTGGGGCAGCTGGCGTAATCTGATGAAATGTAATCACCTTTCTGTCCCACTAGCGTGTCGCCGACCGACTGGTTGTGCTTGATGCCAAACCCATCCATCTTCAACTTTATGGGCGGGAAAAAACATGGAGTGTAACACCAGTCAACCTAATACATGGATAGTGGATATCTACATTACACCGAAATAGAAGGCACTATCGAGGATCCCACTCTCCACTACCTAATCCACTAGCGTGCTGGCTCGAATCCCGAAATGGCAGCTCTATTCTTATTGCTATAAAAGTCACCCCAACGCTCCAAAGAAGGATCATCGAAAATACAAAGAACTCTTTCTAAAACAAAACATCATATTGTGCTAGCCTTTTCTTGACTGAGATTTGTGCTTCAATCATACTTGCGATCGGAGATCGCTCGGGATCGGAAATAAAGAAGAATTTTATCTGTTGCAACATTCTTTTTTATCTATTTCACTATTTCTTGTTTGTCTTTATTCATTATCTATAACTGTTTTGAATCAAACAAATTGCTAGTGGCCCTTGAAAAATACAAATTTAATTGTTTAATCTCAAAATCAGTTTTTGGGTCAAACACAAATATCTCTTATTCCAAAAGGGATAGCTTACCACCTTGCCAATTACATTTTAAGTTTGATGTTTGTTGTTGAAAGATCAAATGAACGGACTAGAGGTCCTCGTAGTGGAAAAACGATGTGATAATATGGCTACTCTAAGGTCATCTATGTACACCTAATTTTCGAAGTTTTGATGCCTTCTTAGGGTACAACCAAATGCTAATACATCCGGATT